ACCTGGTGCTCCTGAGATTAAGGGAAAACGGAGAAACTGCATAGGTTCCTGTGGGTCTTGGCAGCCAGGAGAGTTTAGCAGAATGGGTGGGGCACCTCTAGAAGAATCCTCACATTTCTGTTGCTTTCAGGATTAAATCAGCTCACACCTCAGACTTCCAGGTAAAAGTGTCAGATGGGTCCAGCACAGTGGGGTACTTACTACCTCGCGCCCTCTCCTGCTTTCCCTGACTATCCAGTTTATGACTCTACCCAGTTCATGCCTCTGTCAACCATTTATTATCAACTATTGAGTGAATGCCTTTAGGTGCCCAGCGGTTGCTGTTCTGAGATAACCATTTGCCATTTTGAGATATCCAAGTAGAGGTGTCGGGTGAGCAGTCATATATCTGGAGCTGATGGAGGGGAGCTGTCAATCTGAGGTCGTGGGCCTCTAACTCCTGGAATGAAACCCTGGCTCTTGGCTAGGATCTAGGAAGCTTTCCATGTTACCTTCCCACTCCCCCCGCTACCCCTGCACTCACCTTGCAGCCAGCCATACCAGCTTCCTCACTGCTACCCACATATGCCAAGCCCATTCCCCTCAGTGCCCACATAGAGGTGGTATTTAAATCCATGGGAGAAAGGTCGTTCCTCAAAAGAGAATCAGGGTGTTACTCCAAAGAAGTGGAATGGATGCTTGATGGCAAAACCCCACAAATGTCTGGCACAGAGGATTCTAGAAGAGACCCATCACCTCAAAATAGGTTGAGAATTACTGGTTAGTACTTGTATCTTTTGATACATATGTATATTCAATACATTTCATATATCCAATATATTGTACATTTTACACTGTATTATATGGCAGTCTAATACCATCTGGGTATGTATGCACACATATTAAACTGAAGTAAAAACTTTACAAAGTTAAGTTTATATTTATCCTGTCAACACTTCTCATGTTTTCTACTTCTATCTTGGTCCATTAAAAACAACTAAACTGATCATAACCCACCAACTTGATTTCATAACCCACTCAATCTGCTGTTAGGCACGGGGCTCTAGTGAACCTCTTCTACCTTGCTCCCCTTTCGCTCCATCCCTACTACCCCACTGCATCCTACTACCCCACTACCCCCACTTGTACTCCCACCTCTCACTTGAACCATCTTATCAAGTACTTAATTGGCCTCCTTGCTTCTAGTTTATGTATAATCCACTGTACCAGAATAAATCTTCCTAAAGCCCAGCTCTGATCATTAAAATAAATAAATAAATAAATAAATAAATAAATAAATAAATAAATAAATAAATAAATAAATAAAAATAAATTCCGGTGGTGGCCCTCCTGAGTGGATTTTTTAAAAAATATTTTTTATTTTATAATTTTATTTTTTAAAGAATCCCACTGAGCAGGGAGCCTGATGTGGGGTTCAATCCCAGGACTCTGAGATCATGACACGAGCTCAAGGCAGACGATTAATTGACTGAGCCACCTGGCACTCCCTGAGTGGATTCCTTTCCTTTCCTTTGGCCATTCCTCAATATTCCTCCATGTGTTTTCTCTCCTCCGTTCCCCTACCTTCCCGTGATTACTATGAACAGTACCTTCTCCCAGAAACCTTTGCTCACTCACTAAATGTTTGCTGAACCTACATATGCACTGTTAGAGTTGGGGAATTATGGTATTGAGCAAGGCAGACAAGAGCTACTCGCCCACAGTGCTTTTGGGAAACGTGGAGTATAAAGGATCTTAATTTAGTGGGAGAGCTTCCAGGAAAGCTTCCTGGAGGAGGTGTCAATTAAGATAAGCACTAAAGAGGCAGGTGTGTGTGTGTATGTGAAAGCATGGAGGTTAGGTGAGAAGTGCAGTGAAGGTGAAAGCCCCAAATGAGACCATGGATTGAGTTCCAGGAGCAAGAAATAAGAGCATTGAGTGGTTAAGGGTTTGTTTGAGGGGTTGGGAAAGACTAGTGATAAATGATGTGGTTGCAAGGTTCAAAAGATGGAGGGAACCAGTCATCATGATAGTGCTCTCAACCGGTGGTTCTCACCTGGGGTCCATTCTGCCCCAGGAGGGCCACTGAGCCATATCTGGAGACATCTGTAGCTGTCACGACTTGGGGAGGAAAGGTGCACTTGGTAGGGTAGGTGAGGCCAGGGATGCTGTTCCACATCCCAGAGTGCCCAGGATGCCCCACCAGTGAGAATGATCTGGTCCCAAGTGTGCACACGGAGACACAATTGTTGAATGCTTGCTCCAGTATTTTGTAAGTATTAACTTATTTAAAGCTCACAATGCTGTGAGGTAGGTATTTTTATTACCTTTTTTTTTTTTTTTTTTTTTTTGCAGATGGAGAAACTGATCTAGGTACAGTTGATCCTTGAACACTATGGCTTTGAGCTGTGTGGGTCCACTTATGTGCAGATTTATATCAGTGAATACAGGACGGTGCTGTATATGTATTTTCTCTTCCTTATGATTTCCCTAGTAACATTTTCTTTCCTCTGGCTTGCTTTGAGAATGCAGCATATAACATACAAAATGTATCAGTTGACTGTTTATTGGTCAACAGTAGGCTATTAAATTCTTTGGAGGTCAAAGTTATGGGTGCGTTTTTGACTGCAAGGAGGGTTGGCGCCTTTAACCTTATGTTTTTCAAGGGTCAGTTGTAATTTACCCGAGGGCATAACCAGGGACTGTGGAGTTCACTCAAATGTGCATTAGCCTGGACCTATTTCCCCCACCATGCTGCCCTTCCTGGCCAGGAGGAGTTGGGCAGCGGCAAGGAGGAAAGAGAGTGACCATGTTATGGCATTTTGGGGAGATGGGAGAGGTGGGGGCCATGCAGGTGGTCCTGGATTTCTGGTCTGAACAGTTGGATAGATGGTGGGCAAGGCCATAATGGAAACATGAGGAAGAGGCCTGAAAGGTCAGATGCTGAGCTCCTGTTTTGTTGTGGGGAGGGCAAGGCACCCACACCCCTCTGAGCAGTGGTGGGAGGGGCCGCTGTGGAGCAAGTCACATGTGGAGGGGCATTTCCATTTAGGGATGGACAAGGTCACAGAAGGTGTGGAAGGATGAAGTTCTGGAGCAGGACCCAGGAGCAGCTGGGCAGCAGCCAGAACTGTGGAAGGAAAAGTAGTGGAGCAGGTGACACCCTCACTGGGGAGAATTTCTCCCCTAGCACACTCATAGCTGGAGTGTGTGTGTATTTTTTGCAGGGATGTACCTCACAACTTGCTTCAGAGTTCTTGCTACCAGAAAGTTCCCAGAGGCAGGAACATCATGGGTTCCCCTGCCCCGCCCCACCCCTCCCCAGTGCAGCTTATCAAACTCTGACTATGGGTCATCAAGATTGTAATACAGCTCCATGATCACCAGGGATCCAGGTTTCTTCTGTCTCATTGCTTTGCCATCCTTATGTGATGCCCACATCGGGGTCTAAAATGGCTATTGATGCTCCAGCCATCATATCTACATTCCATCCAGCAGCTTTAGTTTTACCATGTGTACAATGTGGGTAACACTGTCAAAAAGAAGAGATTGGACAGAAGCCTCTAGCATGAAGCTGTTGTGACTAGTTAAAACCTCCCAGAGGCTCTTGGTAGGACTAGGCTCCCCTTATTGTTTGGCCCTTGTGCCCTGGGTCTCTACCCAGTGGGCCTTCTGAGGGACTTGATAGACTGTGGGCCTTCAGCAGTCACCCCTGCTCATCTCCTGTCAGGCTCCTGGGGCAGTGATCATGGAGTCCTCACCTGTTCTCCTTCGGTCACCAGCCACTGAGGCTCAGAAGCAGGGCCTGGCTCTCCTCTTCCAGGGGCCCTGCCACCCTAGCACTGGGCCTGGCTCTCAGACAGGGAGGGCTGGGGGGTGGCTGCTGCTCGGTGCAAGGGCTGGCACTGCTTCAAGGGTCTTAGGCTAGATAGGGCCCATAATCATGAACCATGAGAGGGTGGGGCGAGTCAGGGTTCCATGCGGTTCTCAGAGCCTGGCAGGGAGTCGCTACAGAGACAGGGCCCAGCTGATGGGGAGTCTGCGTGGTTGTGTCCTGGGAGTTTCCCAAGACTGGCCACAAAATTTGCACTGGGGCCCAGTGCAAAATCAAAGTGTGGGCCCTTTGTTCAAGAATTACTAAGAATTTCAAGATGGTGATGGTAGAGCCTTAAGCCATGTGCACAGGCCCTGGAGGTCCCAGCCCAGGGAAGTAGTAGATGATTGTAGTAATACCTGGGGGCCTCAGGACATCTACCTGGGACAGATGAGCCTGGGCTCGGGCCCAGGCTGAGCATCCCTGGGGCACCTGGGGCACTGGCCTGGCCCGGGGAAGCAACTTTTAGGAGCAGCTGACCAGGAACTGTGTCCACGTTTCTGGAACATCTTCCCATCTGTGGGCCCTTCCTGGTGCCTGAGCCCATTGGTCTTCTCTGCAGGAATTCTTCAAAGTCCTATTATCCCTGTAAGAGGAGTGGTCCAAACAATGTGGATTTCCAGCCCCCATGGTAATCCTGCCATGCAGCCTCTCTGTGGATGGGGCCCAGGAATTGGCCATTTTAGAACAAGCTCGTGCAGTGATTCTTAGGGGAGTCCCAAGTTTGGCCCCCACCACTCTACCAAATAAGCCCTGGGAACAACCAGAGGGTTTCATCAGTGGCTGGAGCATATCTGAATAAGTCTAATCTGCCAACAAATAGTCTTGATCATCTAGGGTGGAGAACTATTTTCTTGCTACCTCTGGCCCAGAGCTGGCCTTACTAAATGAAGCACAGGGAATCTGCTCCTTCTGGAACACTTCCCAGAGAGCCAAGAAGAAAATGCTAGAGGCCACTGCTGCTCCTCTGAGCCTCACATGGCATGAACCTGGCCAGGCTGGCAGTCCAGGGCAGGGAACCGGCCTGCAGGGAGGCCTGCCTCCTCCAAGGCCACTGTGTGTGTGGCGAGGAGGAGCTGAAGTGTGGTTGGAGGCCCCAGAGTGGGTATGCTCAGTGTGTTCACAGCAGTGAAAAACAAGAACGGGCTTGGAAGGTGCACGTCTTTACTGTCATTTGTATTGTTCCTTGTGGAATCCTGCAAAGGCAGGAGCATAAGGCGGAAACCCAGTTTGTACTGCTTACCACACATGGAAGAAAAGGCAGGCCATTACACTCCGTGAACCGTGAGCTTAAATGTCTCCCAGGAGAGGAGATATATATTTTAAAGACATTCTTTGTGTCTGATTTCATCTGAGTCTTGAACTGTAAAACCAGACAAACATTGTGATTATTATACAGACTTTTGGTTTCTAAAATAAGCGCCTATCTTTCTTGTGTTTCCCCTCCACACCTCCCTGCACACCTGGCACGGCCTAGGAGTGCACGGCGCTCCCGCTTGTCGGGAAGTAAGGTTTTTAAAGGCCACGTGAGTTTACATTAGTACCTTCTGCGTGAATGAGAAAAAAAATATTGGGGGCCGAATATACTGCAATATACATGTTCATAAGAAACGTTCTAATAACAATTAGAGCACAAAACTATTGGTATAAACATATTTCCAAAAGGAAAAACTGTTGCATTTCAAAAAGATGGTGCTTCCTAGACCAGAGGTTTGTCTGTCTTCTTTATAGCTGGTTTAGGGGCAGAACTCTTGCATGGAGCTAACCAAGTGCAAATGTGTTATGACGGATACAGATCTGGAGTGTCCAAAGTTCAAGGACTGTGCAAGTCCTTAGGATTCATTTATCCCAGAGAAGAGTTTTGATTTTGAGTAGTTCAAGATGGGACATGCCCAGGGTCAAAGTGCTCCAGGATCGCTAATTCAAAGGCAGACATCCAGAAGATTCTATGAAGCAGGAGCCAAGCAGACTTGGCTCAATGGCTGCCCTTGGAAGGCGGCACTGAAACACTGACCACCCAGCCCCCTCGGAACAAACTCATTCCAGACTCAGTAGTTTGGCTTGTTGTTGGCTATGAACTTGGATAGAACCCAAGTCCTTCCAGTTGCTGATAAAACTTCTGGTTTTGATTCTTGAGACACCACTGTGTCTTGGCTTGGGCAAGCCTTTTCTGTGACTTGTTCTTTGAGCCACATGGGGCCTTGGGCTGTGCATGGCCCAGGGACTCAACGATTGATGGCTGCTTCTGGGGACCTTTGGTGTCTGCAGATGGGGCTCCTGTGGGCCAGCATCTGTGCCTCAGCATAGCTGGCAGTGTAGGAGGCCCTGGGCACAGCGCTGAGATGGTCTCTTCCCCCCACAAAGCACCAGGGCGGGGGCTCTGCGGACACTGGTCAGCTCAGTATAGCCCAACAGCTACAGGACACCCCTTTTCTCCTGTGATCTGAGTTTTAAAAAATCATGGTGGAAGCTGGAGGCAGCTGAACAGAAGAGAAGCCCAATGTGGAGGTGCCAGCTCGTCCAGCATGGCCCCTTTCAGCTCTCAGGCAGGATGTGTAGAGTTGGAACAAAGGTCACTGTCTGGCAGAGGAAAGGACAAGAACACTCAGAAGGAAAAGGTGACCCAGGAGGTGCCAGGTGAGCAGCTCAGGCACTCAGGAGTCTGATGTGACCTTCTGTTGTGGTTAACATCGGTTTTCTTCTTGAAGAATGGTGTGCTCTTTGAGGGTGCACTGGTGCCCCATGAGTCAGATCAAAAGTCACATCATCTAAGAGGCACTATTGCAGTGGAGCTAGAGGGTCCTGGTCCGGAGCCTGAGGAAGGCACCACAGAGCTAGATGCCCTGCAAGGAGTGGTTCGTGTCACTGCGCTCTCGCTTCACCAGGGGCTCCCCCAGGCTGCGGGCGTCGGGGTCAGCCTCACTGCCACGATCCTCACTGATGTCATCTGCAGGGTTAGCATTGGGGATGAGGGGTGTGGGAGTGGGGTGCAGGAGGGAGGGAGAGAGAAGCATGTTCTCAGGGAGGTGCACAGGCTTGGACACACCAGGGCCCCCCTGGCCACCCTGAAGTGCTCAGGGAGGCTTTCTCACTGGAGACCTCCCTTGCCCAGTGTCCATTTGCTGGGTCACACTCCTGGCAGGGTTCCCTTCAGCAATTGGTACCTTAATCCTGTAGGGGAGGGCCTGGTTAGTTGGAGTAAGGGGAAGTGGATGCAGGCAGACAGGGCTGTGGTTCTACTCCTGGCCTGATGTGGAGGTGCCTGGGGAGCAGGATTGGATGTCATCCCAAAGCACCCAAGGAGGTGCAGGGCTGCTCCTCTAAGCCCCAGCAGGGGCCAGGCCTGCATCAGTAGGACATCAGTAGGACACCTCCTGCTGCTTAGGTCTCACCAGCCTATCTGGATGCTGACTCCTAAAGCCCCTCAACCCACCCCAGGAGCTTCCTCGATTTCCACTAGGCCAAGGGTGGGAGGAATAGCCCCTGGGAGAGCCTCCCGGAAAAGCTACAGACATACCCACCTTTATCAAGCAGTGTCAGCGACAGGGAGGCGAGATCATTGAACTGAAAGAGAGAAGCCTAGAGTCAGGGGCCTCTGCAGAGGGGCCTGGTCCTGATGAATTTTAGCACTGTCCTCTCTCTCCAGTTAAAACAGGCTTCACTTGTAAATGAGAGCAGTTCCCACATGAGAAGCAGTGCTGATGCTGGTGTGTCCCCTCTGGCACCTTCTGGGTCTTGCCTGGGAGCTGCAGGAGGGCTGAGTGGGTGCTAACTGCTCAGGCCACCAAGAGGACAGGGACTGTGGCCTCTGAATAGTGATGGGTTTATTATGTACTAAAAGCTCTGTAAGCATCACCTCATTTCTTCCTCAAAACAATCCCCTGCGACCCAGCAATTCCACTCCTAGGAATGTACCCAAAACAAATGAAAACAGGCATTCAAACAAGAATGTGCCCCCAAATGTTCACAGCAGTCAAAAGGTATAAACAACCCATGTATTCATCAACATACGAATGGATAAAGCAAAATGTTGACTATCCATGCAAGGGAATATCTGGCCATAGGAGTGAGGCAATGATATGCACTATGACATGGCTGTGCTGTGAAAAATTACGTTGAGTGAAAGACACCACACACGAAAAGCCATGCCATGTGTGACTGCACGCGTGTGAGGGGCCCATGGCAGGCAGATCCTGGCAGAAAGGAGGGTAGTGGGTGCCAGCGTCTGGGGAGAGGGATGGTGGTGACTGCTGGCAGGGACGGGGTTTGCCTTTGGGTTGATGGAATGTTCTGGAATTAGAAGTGGTGGTTGCACAATTCTTAATGTACTAAATGCCCCTGAACTGTTCACTCTAAAATGGCCAGAAAGGTAATTTTATATGTACTTTACAGCAGTAGGACCTCCCCCCATGGGCGGGGAGTCCCAGGTCCCATTTTGGGGGGCAGAGAGGCAGGTCTGAAGCCAGGTGGGTTGGCTCCAGCGTGTGAGGTCTTTCCCACCCACTGGCCTCCTGCACGTGTTTCCTCTTCTGGCCGTCGGCTGTGTCCCCCACAGGGTGCGGGCCGGCCCGGGGTCCCACAGGCAGGAGGGTCCCTCACCTCTCCCATCACAGCAATGGGCGTCTCTCCAGTCGCCTCCGCGACACGGTGCTCCACCAGGTAGAACATGTACTCGTCGTAAAGCAGGCGGATCAGGTGGAAGGAGCCGAAGCTGGCGGCGCTGCGCAGCGTGAGGTCGCGGATCACCATGGAGCTGGGGGATGGCAGACAGAGGCTGGGGACCTTCTGCGGAGCATGCAGTGCAGGCAGGCAGTCGAGCCAGGCTTCTCAGGGGCCCCAGAGACCCAGGAGTGGCCTGCCAGCGCCCAGACCACCTGTGTCCAGCGTGACTGGAGTGGAGGCGGGTGGACGCGAGTTGGGAGGGAGCAGTCAGCTCTAAGCGAGGCCATGGAAACAGGACACTGTGTCTCTGTCTGACACAAGCCTTATCAAAGGGCCTGGTCAGTGGTGGAGCCCTTACTGCCCGCCCACAGCAGGTGACCTATCCTGGCCTTCCCTCCTCCTGGGGTCCCCTCCCCTCCAGCCTTCACTCCTCAGTCAGTGGTTTAGACGCCTGAAACAACACAGAATTTCAGGAAGCTTTCACCTCTTTCATCTGCAGCAGGGGCTGGCCCGCTCTGGTCCCACATCCAGCCCAGATCCAGCCCACTCCCCTTTCTTGTACAGCCTGCAAACCATAAATGCTTTTTACATTCTTAAATGATTGGAAACAAAATCAAAAGAAGAATTATGTTTCATGACCCATGTAAAGCACCTGAAATTCAGTTTAGTGTCCATAAATAAAGTTTTATTGGCACATGGCCATGCCTGTTCATTTACATGTTGTGTGCCAATAGAAGTTTATTTATTTCTTGGTAGTACTTACTATCTGATTCTTCACAGAAAAAGTGACCCCTGATTGAAAGGAATTAGATTACTTGGGACCTGACCCAAAACCCTGGCTCCAAACACCTGAATGCCCCACCTCAGAGCTTCCCCACTCTGTTAGGTCTCATGGCTGTGGTGGCAAAGACACAAAAGGGAACAAGGCAGGGAGGAGACATGTGTGAGCCCCTGACCAAGCAGGGGGCCTGCACAGCACTGGCTCTGACCCCGTGGCCCAAGCAAACCAGAACCAAGCCAGAGTCCATGTGCGGGAATCTGAGTGAACCTTAGAACAACCAGCCACAAAAGGGCCAGGCTCCTCCAAATACGGTGGCGGCGGCAGGCGCTCCAGCTAAAGCCTATCACCTCGTTTCCTTGCTTTGGTCCCCCAAATTCTCTGTAACACCTCTCCCCTCACTCACGGACCACCTGTGGGTTGGGGCTGCCTGAGGTGAAGCAGTGTTTGCTCCAATGAACTTTTAAAAGTGTTAACATGCCCTGTTATTCTTAACGAGCTGGAACTGTTTGTGCTTGTGTACGAGTGATTGGGTGTGCAAGTGAGTCAGTAAAAGCAGTTGATGACATTCTACTTAATGCTTTGCACGTCTTCCTGGGCCAGCGTGTAGATGCACTCCTAAGGCACTTTGGCAGTGGAAAAAGAGAGGTGGCTTCAGCAGGCTGTGGATTGGAGACGGCGTAGCGAAAGCAGCCAAGGAGCGAGCCCCTGGGGCTGACCGCCGTGTCCAAATCAGCATGGAAAGCAAAGATCGCTTGAACGTGAGCCGACCCAAAGGCCGAGTCAGTGGACAGGGTGGAACGGCTTGGGATTTGGGATGTTTTCTCCTCAGAAGCTTCTTGGCTCTGTATGGCCAAGCCCCCTAAAGGTAAACAAGTGCACCTGGATTTTGGGTCCCTGGTGGTCTCTCCGCATGCTCCCCTCCCCACCCCTGGGAGCTGTGGCTGGTGGTTATGCTGTGCCATCTCCCTCCTCCCGAGTGCCTCATGTTGGCCACAGGAGAGCACAGGTCTGGAAAGAAAAGTCACAGGCCAGCTGCTGCTGACACCAGCACGCCATGCCTGCCTCGGGAGCCTGCTGAGCAGACAGCTGCACGGTGCCCACTGTCCCTGCCTTCCCCGAGTTCTCCTGGAAATCAAGCTGCGCTTACCTATAAAAGGACCATTTCAAAAGGAACTGCCGGGCAGCTTTGGGGAAGCTGGGGCTGCCGGCGTGCTGCTTCAGGACCTGGGTGACCACGTTGTCGAGCCAGCTGGCCCACTGGTCCAGGGAGCTCTGCTGCTGTAGGGTCAGCTTGAAGTCCTGCTCCAGCCGCTGCACCACGCTCTCCTCGCACTGGCACACCCACGAGGCCTGCTCCTGCAGGGCATGGGTGGCAGGTCAGGGAAGCTCCCCCCACCCCCGACCCCATACCCATGCCATTGGGTAGGGAGCATGAAGAACAGCACCAACCCTGGGCCTTTTCCAGCTACATTTGAGCACAAGGGCAGGGACGGATGGAACGACATCCAGAGAGGGAGCCTGCCCTGGTTCTAAGCATGTAAATCCACGCTTCTCAGATTCTATACCATGTTTGTGGTGTTTTACTTTTAAGTGGTCATTTCTCTAAATGTGTGTGTTTATTTAGTGGATAAACTCAGAGCCTGAACTCGGTGTATCATTGTGGCAGGACACACATGCACACAGCCTGCACTTCTCTGAGCCCAGAGGAGAGCTGCGAAAATGTCAACAGGAAGGTAGATTTTAAAAGAGGATGAGCCAAGGTGTGGGTCCCAGCACTTGGACGCCGGGGTGACCAGGGGGAGGGTCATGGAGTGGAGGTCGGGGTCCCTGAGTGGGCTGCAGGGGGCTTCCACCCTGAACCTGTTTTCATGTATGCTGGCTTTTGCTGTGGGTTGAATTTTGTGATTTTGAGCATTTTCTGAGAGGCTGGGAGGCTGGGCCAGCAGGGTGAGGGTTACATATGTGTCGTTGCTGATCTTCAGCCTGGTCCCTGTGCCTCATCCCGGGATGCGGGGGGATTACATTGGAGAAAGTCACCTGCACGTTGGCAAAGTCCACGCGGTTGAGGTCACTGAGCATCTGGTTGATCTGGGAAGTGTTCTGAAGCACCGCCCGGGCTGCCTGAGCGAGGTGATTGAGGGACGTGTATCTGCGCAGGGTCTGGGCAAAGGCACTGACCACGCCTACCTGTGGCCGGGGGAGGTGCAGATGGTGAGGCATGGGGCCAGAGCTTGTTCTGGGCTCTGGGACACAGAGAGACGCACCCTTCTGACAGCTTCAAGGACCCGAAGAGTGAGAATAAATGAAGGATGCCAACCTAACCAAACCCTCTTGGCATCTAGAGCAGACTCCATAGCATTGGTGAGTTAGCCATTCAGGACAGGGGGCTTATGCCACTGTTTCTAGAATTCCTTTGGCTCTCTGGAGTGGCCAGGTCAGGGGAATACAGATTCCTGGGTGCCACTGGATCAGGCTTTGTGGGGGTGGGGCCTGGGAATCTGTAATTTTAATCACTACCTTGGTGATTCCTATGCACACTGAGGTTTGAGAGTCACTGGTCTAACAGTTCCAGACCATGGTCAGGGAGGCCAGATGCTCGGAACCTGGCCTCACCTGTACGCAGGTCTCTAAGAGATGCTTGTGAGAACAGCACTCTCTTCTGGGCATGGAGGCCCAATCTCCACATTTTAAATTCTGATTTGTGGCTCAGGCCATTGCAATAAGGGTGACAGCAAGGAGATGAAACCCTCCCTCCTATGAGGCGCATAGGAACATTCTATCTGTTGCAAATCAACCCAAACGCATCACAGCAAATGACATCTTCTATTGTGCCCCTCCCTAGTAGCACCTGTCCTACATCACCCTCATCCCCCCAAAGGGCCTCGAGGTCCTCAGGAGCCCACTTTCCCTGGGCAGGGGGACAGGGGCCTCTCCCTGAGCCCTGTCCAGCTGCTCCCGTCAAGCAGAGCTGCTACCTTGGTCTGGATGACCTGCTGTGGGAAGTCTCTCATGGCGTTCGTCAACCAGCCTTCCAAGCTCTTGGCGAAATTACGGATGGCCTGTGTCAGGGTACCTGGGAGATACAAGCCATGATACTTCGAGTGAGAAAGGTGGACTCGCTCATCAGGATCAGCATTAATGTAAGAGATGCACATGCAATGAACCCATTAGAACACGCAGCACAGAGAAAAAGAGCCAGTGAGCAGCATACGGGGACCGGGGACCGGGGACCTGGGAGAACTTAGGGCATTTAGTGAGCAAGGCGCTGGGTAAGAATCAGGGCCACCCAGTGCCTTCATCTCTGTGCCTCTATCTCCTGTCTTAGTGGTTCTTCTCACCCAGGGGTAACTTTGCCCCCAGGGGATATTAGGGGAATGTGTGCAGACACCTGTGGTCGTCGCAACTGGGGGAGCTCCTGACATCAATGGGTGGGGGCCGGGCCCCACCCCCCCACAGTGCCCAGAACGGCCCCCTGTTACAGAGAACAGTCCACAGTGCTGAGGGAGGAGAAGCCCTGAGACACACACATGCACGTACGTAGAGTCTACCAACTTCCAAATTTATTGTGAGGTGGCTTGCAATAAGAAACAAATAAGGCTGTTTAAAGAAAAGAAAAAACTTCAAAAATGTAAAAGGAAATGTACCCCAACTCCAACCTTAAGAGAGAGACTCCAACTACATGCTACAATGACCAGTTTTCGGGCCGGCAAGCCCGAAGGAGAAATGTAATAGTTTTGCTGTTTCCAATTTTCCAGCACAAAAGCAGCAGACCAGTTCATTAAGAAAGACCGAAGTTTCCATTGTGCCAACAAGCACAAATATTAATAGCCCACTGCCAGGTTACCTGTAGTGCCCCTGCTGTCATTATTAAGACTGAGGCCTCAGGACCCAGCTTCCTCAGTCAGGGGCTTCCACCCTTCAGGACCCTAGGGGCCCCAAGGGAGAGCCTGGAAGGGCCTGGCAGGACGTACTACCTGCCGGGTGGGTGTGATGAGCCTGTCATCACCTCTGGAGGCCCTGCAGGTGGTCCCGGGGGCAGAGGGGCACAGTGGGTTGAGACCCTCCCTGGGGCTTTCAGCAAACCAGCAGATGGGGTAGGGCTGTCCTGTGACCCCGGCCCTGCCCTCTGGGGACATGCTGGGTGAAGGGGGATGGAGATCCCGGGCCCCAGAGGAACTTGGGAGGCTGGAGTGTCACCCGGAGCCCGGCAGCACAGAGCATGCTGAAGCCCGAGCCGGCCCGGGTGGGCGGCCACCCAAAGGTGGCAGGCCTCCCCAGAGCCATGAGCGGGCCTTCCCCTCGGCCTTGTTCTGGGGTGGGGGGCAAGGAAAGCACAGGGGCGACGGGGAGCACAGCAGCCAGCGAGCCACTTACTGGGCACTGGCCGCAGCACGTCGGGGATGAGGATCTCCACCAGGGCCTGGTACAGGATGTGGTCGCAGTTCCTCATCCACTTGAGAATGGGCTCGCATTTACACAGAGACACCAGCTTGTCCTTCGGCAGGACGGCACCCTCGGGCTCCCCGTCGCTGCGGGGAACAGGAGACCCAGGTGAGCTGCAGCCTGCAGGGTGGCAGGGGGCCCCAACCCGTTCTCCAGCAGGCCCATACTCCCTACAGTCTCCTGCTGAAGCAAGAGAATGGGCAACATGAAGGACAGGCCATGGTCAGAGTGTGAACCCCCCCCCCCCCACACACACACACAAGGGAGCTCTGAGTGCCAATTCTTGGAAGGGTGACGTACTCGCCTGTGGGTCACAGTGGGGGTGTCTGCAGGTTAACCCCGGAGTACTGGGAAGTGAGCCGGTTGGGCTCTGTGGCCCCTGGGGGCAGGGGGCCGGGGTGAGGGCAGTAACCTGGCAGGTAGGGAGGCCGGGCCATCACCCGAGGAAGCTTTCGAGTTCCAGAAGGAAAGCCACAGCTTCTCAATGTAGTGAAACTGGAGGTTCACCACAACATCTAGAGTTGCCTGTGAATAAACACAGCCCGTTGAGCTCATGGTGTGCATGTTAGAAAGTGTGCCTATCACGCACAGTCGACTGGGACATGCCAAGTGGGCCGGTGTGATGTGACAGGGGCTGCGGTGGGGTGCCCTGAACCCGAGAGAGACCACAAGAGGGGAGTACGTCAGAGAGTGGAGACTCTATCTGCTTCATAGCTAGAGGAAGCAGGTGGCCGCTCCCACCTCCCCTGGGTCACCTGGGGACACACCTGGGATGTCTGAGGGCTTGGCGGTTCTGGTGATGTGAGGCTTCACGGGGCACGGGCTGTGCTGTCCACCCAGGCCGGGCCTCCCTTCCCTCCCCACACCCAGGCTCAGGGTCTCCCGGGGCGGGGCGGTCACCTCACAGTGCCTCCGGTAGACCAGCTGCAGCGCCTTGACGTCGTGCAGCGTGATGCTCTCCTGCAGCAAGACGCTGCCCAGGTCAGGCGCTGGGAACTCCGGGAAGACGTGAGAGACATCTGGGAGGAAAATGGGGGTTAGCGGAGCTGCAGAAGGTCCCCAGGCAGGCGGCCCCTGTGCTGGTGGATTAGGGGATTAGGGTTAGGGTTGCCAGTGGCTGCTGTCAGGCCCGGCGTGCCGGTGACTGCTCCACAGTCCTGGGTCTCACAATTTTTATGTTTTAGTTTTCTCAGGGGCAGAATGGGGACAACCCTGTCCTGTCTCAGCTGACACAGCAAGCTCAGGGCCCGGCATTCAGTGAGTACTCCCATTACCCCAGCGTGGGGGTTGCTCAGGGCTGTGAATTTGGGGAGGAGGCTGGCCATGGCTAACCCAGTGACTTCCCTGAAGGCTTCTCTCTGGGCTCTAAAAATACCCTAAAAATAGATGAAGGCCCCTCACGTCTGCAGTGTGTGTGCCTGTGGACACCGACCACAGTATGCCCCCGGGCACGTCCCAGGTGGCAGGCTGCGAGTCAGACGCTCTCCCGGGGGCCGTGGTGCCAGCAGGGGAGGGGCTCTCCCAGGGAAGGGCCAGCAGCCCTGCGTCAGGCCACCAGGAGGGGAGAGGCAGTTTGAGTCCTGAGCATCCCAAATGCTCCAGGGAAGCAAGGAAGAGAACCGAGGAAGGCAGCCAAGTCCTGCGCCGACAGGTTTTACGACACATCTAGTCTTCCTTCCGATGGGATTTCATTTCCTTTGCTTATTTTTCTGAGGTCATTTCACACATTCATTTTGGGGTCACCTGCTGACTATTCTAAAATCTTGGAGATACCATAAAGGTTTATCTAGAACATTTCTATGTAATTAAAGAGGGATTATTATACGAGAAAACTGTCTAAAGCACCCCTGTAGATGCTGCTGGTGCTGAAACCCCTGAGCCCCTGGAAGAGCTGAGTGGACACCTGAGCTTTTCTGGGGTGGGGAGCACTCACCTATGTACTGCTGGTGGTGCTGGCTCTGGGCGGCCATGGCCTGCTCCGGTGTGCTGTGCAGGCTGCCATGCGAGCCACTGTCCCCAAGGCTGTCGGTCTTCTGGGCTGGCCGGTACCTGGGCAGGGCATATGGTGTCACCACGAGGCCCCAGCTGTACTGCCCGAAGGGGCTCAAGGTGCACAGAGCTGAGTGGGAGTCAGTTTGAGGTGTGTGTGCATGTATGTGTGTATATGATTTTTAAAAATTTGTGGTGAATGAACATAAAATTAACCATTTTAACCGTCTCTAAATGCATAGCTCGGCGGCACGAAGCACACTCACGCTATCATGCATCCACCCCCACCATCTGTCTCCAGAACCTTCCATCTCCCCACACGGAGACCCCGTCCCCAGGAAGCACTGACCCCCTGCCCCACCCCTGGCTCTCTCCATCTCCTCTGTCTCTGTGGATGGGCCTCCTCTGGGGACCTCCTGAGAGTGGGGTCCTGCAGGAGGTGTCCTCTGGATCTGGGTCCCCTCCCTGAGCCAGGTGTCCTTGGGGTCCGTCCACGTGGGGGCAGGTGTCAGGATGTCCTTCCTTTCTAAGGCTGAATAACATTCTGTTGTCTGGATGGACGCTTTGGCTTATCTCTTCATCTGCTGATGGATATTCAGGGTTGCTTGTGGGGGGTGTGTTTGTGTATCTTATTTTCCCTAATACTTCTCCCTTAGAATATAAGTGAACTTCTTTACATAGAATCACAAATATCTTACTATTATATGGCCTCAAAGGAAATTCTGGGACTTTCATTTTGCCTTGAGCCAGAAGGCAGTGGACAGCCTGTCCTGGCAGCAAATGGGGAACATTCACAGAGAAGGGCTCCCCAGGGCTTGGTGTTCCTTGAACCCAGCGGCCCACTGCGAGGTGGTGACATGTGTGGTGGGAAGAACAGGGGGACCCAACTCCAGCAGGGAGAGCCTTTCCTTGTGGAAAGTGGGGCCAGGAGGACGGAGGAAAGTCTCTCAGACACATGTAGACCGCCTGACTTGGGTGGTGGTTCCAAGTATAAATGGCATGAGCCTGTCGCCAGGCTCAGCTGCTCCTAAGATAATACGCTGCCTGGTGTAATGATTCACGGGGGTTTGCAGGGGCCCAGACCAAACAACAAGAAGCGAGAGAGTCCATGTCTGTGGATGAACAGGTACAGGATGGACTGCCAGCTCCACTCTTATCTGTTGGCTGCTGGAAAATGTTCTAGAGACTCTCTTCTGTGCTCTCCAACTCCCATGGTTGGACATGTGGTTTGGAGCCACTGAGATGGCCTCAGGGCCACTAAAGTGGGTTTTTAGCCACACACAGATGGGCCACATGAAGCCATCTGGACTCTGGGGAGGAGACAGGGACAGAGGGAAGCAGGCAAGGAAGTGACTGTAGGACTGCCAGGGGGGGTGATATTGGAGTGGGGACCTGAATGGGGGTCTGCAAATCCCAGCTGTGGAGGGCCAGTTCTGTTCCTGGTTGTGTGAATAAAGCTTTATTGGCACACAGCCACGCCCATTTGTGTACATGTCATCTGTGCAGGCTTTCAGGTTGCCATGGCGGGGCCGAGTAGTCTTGACAGGGTGTCTGGCCTGCAAAGCCTAAGACATTTGCTCTCTGGCCCTTTACAGAAGTTTCCTGACCCCTGCCATAAAAGATGAATTAGTGTGTGATAGAGAACATTCCAGAAAGTGACCAGGCCTTTTCAGACATTGGATCAAAATGTCAAGAAGCAGCAGCAACTTGGGTATATAAGCTTCTTTCTCCAGGCTTCTTGGGTTATTTCCAGTTACTTTTTTTTTTTTTCCTTCTTACAGTTGAAAATTAAAGATTTAGGATCCTGGCTCTGTGATATTCTGGAAAAGGGAAAACTATGGAGACAGTAGAAGGATCAGTAGCTGCCAGAGGTTGAGGGGGAAGGGAAGGATGAATAGGCGGGCGCAGAGGATTTTCAGGGCAGTGAAACTACCCTGTGTGATCCTGCAACGCTGGATACGTGTCATAACACATTTGTACAAACCCATTTGAATGGAGCACCAGAGTGACCCCTAATGTCAAGTATGGACTTAAGGTGATAATGACGTGTCGATGTAGGTTCACCAGTTGTAACAAACGCACAGCTCTGGTGTCATGTTGTTGGGGTGGCTGTGCATCCGAGCACAGGGGGCATATGGGGAACTCTGCACTTTCTGCCCAATTTTGCTGTGGACCTAAAACTGTCCTAAAAAATAGTGTCTACTTTTTTTTTTTTTTAAAAAGAGAAAGATCTGAAGGCTCTGTTAGCTGGACGAGGTTGCATCCCCAGCCTCCCGTGCCTTGGCTCACCCAGGATGTTGGAGACAGAGGTTAATATGAATCTATTTTTTTCCATCACAGTTTGGAGAATCCCCTCCTACCTAGGTATCTAATGTTTGAGAAACACTTCTCTGTATGTTCTCCCAAGTGAAACTTAGACCTGACCCCTGCTTTGGCAGAAAAGTTGGTCCTCAGGCTGGCTTTGGGCCAGGTCACCCACCTTGGCTTCTGATGCATGGGCTGTTGCCGCATGGCCATGTACTGGGTGTCCTCCTGCAGCCGGTTCAAAGGCGAGTCTGGTTTCAGACGGATCCCATAGTAGTGATATTTGGAGTTGCCCCTAAAAACCAAGTATCTTAGGGTCAGCTAGCTCTCTTTGCAGATGTCCTGAAGGACAAGTGCTCTGGCCCTTCCATTTGGGTGTTCGGGTTCAGTGTTCCCTGGACCAGTGTGAAATGTTCCATGGTCAGAGAAGGTTTAGGAAATTCTATACTTGGCCTCCCCATCTCAGAGATTACCCCCCCCTTGCATTTTAGTATTATAAAGGCTCTGAGAAGTCCTACAGTGGGAAAAGCAGTGCAGCTTTGTTTGACGTGGCATGGCCTCACCATCATCATCATCATCACCATCTTCACCATCATTATCACTATCATTCTCACCATCACCACCATGACCATCATCATCACTGTCATTATCATCATCACTGTCACCATCACTGTCATCATCACCATCATCACCACCATCACCACCTTCACAATCATCCTCATCATCACTACCATCACCATCATCATCACCGGTATCATCACCACCATCAGTATAACATGATTTGGAAAACGGCACAAGGTTGGGAAACACTACTATAGCTTATTATGGGAAAAATAAGTGATCAAAGGGCTTTAGACAATTTGGTTAAGAAAACAGGTCAGAAGGGCTACTCAGGAGAGAAGCACTGAAGGACAGATGTGTGTCTGGCAACAGGGACAAATGGGAGAAGCATGAGTCCTTTCTGAATGAGGTAGGGGCTTGGCTGGTGCCAGGAGGAGGGGAAAGCAGGGCGATAAAGCCCTAATCCTGAGGCCAGCATCCGGGATACTCTGACGATGGAGGCCATGCATGAGCCTTCTGGAGAGGACCCAAAGGCCGTGGCTGTGTCCCCAGAGACCAGGGGCTCCTTCTCCTTCTCTTCCCTCCTCTATCCATTGATGCTCTGTAAGGATGTTCTCTGTAAAGGATCAGAGGGTGTCTCTTGGCCCGACACCAGTTTCTGAGGATGTATGAGTAACCCCAACCCCCACATGTGACTTCACAGATAACAGACATGCAGGAAATGGCCTTCTGTGTGCTCTGGGCCACCCACTTTGAATAGAGTATGGCTGCTGTTTTCTAGTGGGAGGAGTGCTTGATTCATGCCTGGGATAAGGTTGTAGCACGTGACAGGCAGTCCCTGGCTCCTGCAGGTGGAGGGCAGGCCCTGGTGACAGGAAAGACATGGCCCACAGCCAACATCTTGGGCAGGTCAGGCCATGTTGCCACCAATTCAGAACTAGAGGCACACGGGCAGAAGGAGAAAGCCCACATTCTCCAAAAGCTCAATTATTTGTATAGAGGACACGGGAGGACGAGTGGGCGTGAGACTACTGGGCACCCCCGGGTACCCACCTGGTGCCCAGCCGCCGTGTCCGCAGGCCCATGAACACGGAGCGGATCAGCTTCCCGAAGGAGGCGGCATTCACGGGGTCCAGCTTGTGCTCCTGGCAGTGCCGAAGGTAATGGTTGTAGAGAGAGCTTCTGGGGAGACTCACGCCTTCTGCGGTTTCGTAGTTATCCAACAGCCACTGGAGCTGGAGGAAGACAGACATGCTTGCGTTCGTCAGGATTCCCCAAAATGCCAAAACGCTAACGTGGACTCATTAATAATGGGACTCACACATTTTCTCTTCATTCACACGATGAGGCAATTCATAGCCACTGTCACTGATTTGGATAGGAGAGATTCTGGGCACATTAATTAATAGCTTTCTCTCCGCTCTTGTATTTATGCCTTCAATTTTCCGCCTGGCTTTCAGATTCCTTGACTTGATTTACAAAGACCTGCAAGTGACTGAGACCTCTTGGGTGTGTCTTCATAATCATGTGGACACCACATGTCTCCTGAACTTACAGGGATGTCAAGACAAAGAGGAGGATTTGGGATCCCTGGGTGGCACAGCGGTTTAGCGCCTGCCCTTGGCCCAGGTCACGATCCTGGAGACCCGGGATCGAATCCCACATCGGGCTCCCGGTGCATGGAGCCTGCTTCTCCCTCTGCCTGTGTCTCTGCCTCTCTCTCTCTCTCTCTCTCTCTCTCTCTCCGTGTGACTATCATAAATAAATAAAAATTAAAAAAAAAAAAACAAAGAGGAGGATTGAGGATAACTCGGCGGACCCATCAGCACCGCCCCTGGCATTAAACAGGACGACATTGGCCTTCAGAGCCTGTCTACCTCGTGACATCCTGTGACTGAGCGACAGATCATTAATCTACGGATTAAGATGGCCAGGGCTTGGCCACCTGTCTCCTCACTGGTCGCTGAATATGAAAGCCCTCGTTGAATTTTTGTCCTATTGCTTGTGCCCCTATCTTTGCCCCCAGCCAGAAACTGCACACCCGGGGGCAGTCAGATCCGACTAGAGCAGGCCAGGAGGGAAGGGAGGAGTGGAAGGTGGGATTCCCAGACACTTCTTCCTCCTGCCCCTTTCCTTAGCAGCTCTCAGCCCAGATCCCACACTCTGGGATCTGTTGTGTATTTGCTCTCTGGAAAGCTTTTTCTTTCTGAAACAACAAAAACAAAACAAAACAAAAAAGCAGGATGACAGCGACAGACAGACATATCCTCATGTCCTTAACTGAGAGAGAGGCTGTAAGCGGAAACTGAACACAGTACCGAGGAGGCTCATGTGCCAGGTTTTGTGCCCAGGCCGGGAGGCAGGAGGAAAGAACCTACAGCCCAGTCGCTGCCCCCGGAGCTCACACCGGGTCCGAAGGGCAGGAGCTGTCCCCACAGCAAGTCCAGCAGCCGCAGCAGGCAGCGGCGCAGAAGAGGCCCGCCCGCCTGGACCCCTTTGGGCAGAGCGCATCCAAGTCACCGTGCTGGGGACTTGGAGAAGGGCAAGAGCCCTGTGCACGGGACCCAGGCCGGGGGCATGATCCTCCGTGGGAAGGTCGACGGGGGCGGGGGTCTAAGCCATGGACCCGCCCAAAACTGTGGGGGCTCCGTGCCCTCTGCCGACCCGGGTGTGGGGGGCCCAGCATGCCGCACACCCTCTGCACCCTTCTAGACCCGCAGGGAGCACCTGCCCTGGGAGAGCTCACCCCCCGCCGGCCCCTGGCTGCTGCACGGCTCGCCACAGACCATCGCGGTCCTGCCCGGACGCAGCGGGTGCACCTGGGGGTCGGCTGGAGTCTCCCCTTTAAGAGACAGTTTTTAAAGTTTCTAACACGCACAGAGGTTTGAGAGAGACCCTGCTTCCTGTAATCGTCAGTTCAGGGCCAAGTTTATTTCACCGGAGTCCCCCCTGCCGCCTCCTGCCCGTCTCGGGCTGTTTTCAGGTGAATGCCCCACGTGCCTTCGTTTCATCCCTGGGCCCGAGGGAGACGCAGGTGGCGGGGCCAGCTGGGGGCAAGGAGTGGCTGGCTCAGAGGTGGAGGCAGGTGCGGCTGCCTGGGGGGGGAACAGGTCAGAGGTCCAGGTGAAGGGACACGTGGGGGCCTGACAGAGCGGAGGGTCCTCTAACAGAGGGACACACACGGGGCTCAGGAGGGGTAATGGGCTCTGCTTTGGGAAGGACGCTGGCCAACCCCTGGGCCGCTGTTCAGGGGAGGCCGGGAGCAGCGTGTTAACGTGGCACCAAGGCTGAGCACGGGCTCCTGGGGGCGGGGAGGGATGTGCCCAGGGAGGCCGTTCCCACAAGCAGGGGCCCAGGAGGAGGAGGAGGAGTGGTGGGTGTGAACCAGGGCCGCCCCACCACCATCACTGCGACGGCCTCCCGCAGCAGCTGCTCCCAGGGTGCCCGAGGGGCCCTGTGCCCCCCTTCCCCAGGCTGTGGGCCTGCGTGGCTGAGATAGCTGGGCCCCCACCCGCCCAGCGCCCCAGGGTCGGGTAACCCCAGGCCCTGTGACTGAGAGGCGGTGAGGACAGGGAGACGCAAGGTCGCACCCAGGAGGGAGGCCACAGTCCCCGGCAGAGGCCCGGGGAGACAGCCCGGCGCCCAGGAAAGACACCTCACCTCCCTCGTTGTCCCTTTGGGAAAAGGACTTCCCATCATGTCACTCAGTGTTTAATTTCCACTGTCCTTACATGTGCTTTTTCTGCCACCCTTTCTCTCCAAAGTTTCGCTGTGGCCCAGGGCTCGGGCCTTGGCGGCCGCCTCCCCACCCCCCCAGCCACCCACCTCTCTCCCCTGGATGCCGCAAGCTGAAGCCTTAGCTGTGATGTCAGGGATTAGTTGGGTCAGTGTGGCACTGCCCTCCGACCCTCGGGCGCGCCCTCCTCCCCTCCCTGAGCACCCTTGCCCGCCTGAGCTCTGGGAGGCTGAGGGCGGTGGGACTGGGGCATCTGGAAGGGGCAGGGGGTGCGCATGGCCCCATCGGTGCCAGGAAGCTGCTCCGCAGTGACAAGGCACGGGGGGGAGGGTAACCGGGCTCCTCGGCTGCCACCCTTTCTCCAGGTGAGGAAGGGCTGGTGTTTGAGGGGGTCCTTTGAGCTCCGGGGTTTTCTTTAGAGAACTTTTCCCCTGCAGAGCTGGCAGGTGCATTTCATCTATTTATTGCTCGTCTCTCCCACTGGAATGAGAACCTCAGGCAGGAAGAGATGGCACCGGGTGTGCCCGTGTTTGCACCCCCAGGAGGTGCAACAGACCGAGGGAAGGGGTCCCGCAGCACAGAGGGGCCCCCAGCACGCGGGAAGCCGGCGGTCAGGGTGCAGAAGGGGCAGACTTTCTCTCTCTGCCCCCCTGGGAGCACACAGTGCCGCTTCTTAGGGAATCTTCTGGGGGCGGGACAGGAACTTGGGACTTTTAGGTGAGAAGGGTGAGGTCGGCTTCGGTGGGTGGTGAGCTGAAGGGGACCCTCGACAGGATGGCTCACATGTATGAGGAAGCGTTCGGGGAGAACGAACACTTCGGCTCATCACCACCCCCCAGCCCCGTGTTGTTGAAATTAAAAATGGATCTCCTCACTTGGGTAATTCTGTGGGCATTGACATCAATGCTGTGTGGTTAGCTCGGCAAGTTCTTCCCAAGCAGAAGGAACTCCAGAGAGAGGTGACAGCTCTAGCAGCCCCCAGAACAACCAGTTAGACTTTCTCTCCCTTTTGTGACAGAGGGGAAGCTGATTCACGTGACCAATGAGTCAAGTCATGACGGAGCTGAGGGAGGGAGCCGTGGGGAAGCATTCTAGGCAGAGAGAACAGCCTGTGCAAAGGCCCTGGGGCAGCACCAGGCCTGGTGTGTTGAAGGAACAATGAGGGGGCCTGTGTGGCTGGAGCAGAGGGAGGAGGGCAGGGGAGGTGGGGGACAGGGCAGGTGGGGCAGGGCCCCAGAGGCTGTTTTGATGAATCTGGCTTCTACTTGGGAGTGTGATGGGGGGAACTTGAAGCTTCTAAACAGAGAGGTGCCATGATCTGACTTTGGTTTCAGCCACTTTCAGTGGTTTCAGGACCACTCTGGCGGCTGCCATGAGAAGGGCCTGGACGATATCTGGGTGAGGGCAGCAGCCAAGGGCTCACCGGGTGGTGACTGTGACACTGCACGGGCGAGATGGAGTGGGGGGCGGCTATGGCTGTGGTGGTGGAGGAGGGGGAATGGTCTGATTCGGGTTCGTTCTGAGGGTGAGGTCAAGAGCATCCGGAGGTGGGGTTTGGGAGGAGGGCGGGAAGCAAGGGTGAGCAGCAGAGGATGGTGGGAGGCGCAGGGGGTGGCTTTGGACACGGGGCGTGATGAGCTGCAGCTCCAGGCCGGCAGGTGGCTGGATACTCGAGGGTGGAGCTGTGGGAAAGGCCAGATGGTGCTGCCCACTGGGAAACAGCCTTTCCCGCTGGGAGCCGGGGTGGGGGGGTCCCTCAAGGCGGTGAGGGGACCTCGGGGAAGAGACCAGTAGTCCGACCAAGACAGCTGCGAGAGACATTTGCCACGATGCTTTGGAGCAGTTTCTGGACAAGGGGCCCATCCGGTGAAGCTGCCGATTCTAGCCAAGCCCCAACCCTGGTCTGCAAGGTCTGCTTTGTCATCTGCCACCAACGGAAGACCAAGTGATCTTTGGCAATTTGTGGCCCTCAATTAAAGAAAAAAAAAAGCCATATCATCTAAATACTATTAACCTACAAGCAGGTCCTCCTCCCAGGGTTTAGAAATAACAAGCATTTACTGGAGCAGACCACGGCTGCCCCCATGTGACGGTGACTGTGAACCAGTGGGGGGGGGGGCCCTGTGGGGGGGTGTTGTTCTGCACAGGGATCTGGGGGACGGCCCCTCCCCTGCTCAAGGTGGGGATGTTGACCGAAGTCCCCCCAGGCCACACGCCCTGGTGACTGCATCCAACTGGAGGCTGCGGTGGGGCAAGGGGTTTTCACCCCCAGGGCAAGCGCTTCACCTCCTTCCCTGCAAACAGCTACCCCTCCCTTTCATCCACCATATCTGTCCGTCCCCATCTAACAGACCACTCAAGGCCCACTTCCTCCTCTGGGGGTTTCGACCCCAGGCTGGAAAGTTCCTTCCCACCTGCACACCCCCTGGGTGTCGGCCCCTCCAGGGCAGCTGGTGAAGTTCCAGGTGACCCCAACATTGGCTGGATCTGGAACGCAGCGTCTCGCCTCCCAGACTCGGGGCTCCTCGCCAGCCCCGCTCACCCCACACTAGCTCACGCACTTAGGTGTGACCTGGGTGCACTTTCTCACACCTGCTTGGCTACTGCCCTTGCATTCCCAGCTCCCTGGGCTGAGCTCCTCTCCTTGTTCCTCCCGCTCCCTGTGCTCAGCACAGCTCTGCAGCCCATGCTGTTCGAGAAGGGTCGGCTGGGAGGTCACCAGGAGAACAGGTCCATGGGGGCAGGGTCCCCAATCCGGCACAGGTGCCCTAGGGCTGGGCTGGCAAAGGAGCCGGGACGCAGCCCGTGTCACCCCACACTAGGGCACTGTCAGCTGCGGGTGGCCACGGTGAAAACCATCGTGAGTGTGGCCGGCCACCACAGGGCAGGTGCATCTGCGGGACACTGGGCCGCATCCAGGCACCAGGACTCTCTCCCTCTCCCTCCTGGCTCTCACACTGGCCAGGACGAGCTCCAGCTGGCTGTCACCCCGGTGCACGTGGGTCGGCTTTTCAGAATGATCTTATTTCTATTCTCTAAGTCACCAAGCAGACTCTGCTTCCCACAGCTCCTGATGCCAGAACGAGACCCCACAACACCCGGCCAGGGAGAAACGGACGCGGGGAGGGTTTCCTGCTCGGAAACCAAACCAGCAGGGCAGCAGTCAGAGAAGCCTCCTTCCAGAGGAGAAGGGTTAGAAGCCAGAAGCACCCCTGCAGCCAGAGGCAAGTGGCTCATGCGCTGCCCCCCCAAGACATTTTAAATTTCCTGCGGACCTCTGCCTGCCTGGGGTTTGTGCCCCACATCCGGCCTCCCTCGGGGCTGCCCTGGTGCCAGGGCCCATGGGCTGTCGAGGCCCCGCGTGTTCACCTCAGGGCCTGCTGAACGGGGAATGCCTTGCGCAGACTTGCCCGCACGGTGCCCTGAGTTTAAGACTGAGGGGTCTTCTCAGCAACACACACTGCAGATTGTTCCCCCCCAGATCTGGCCACAGGGCTGACTTCGTCCAGCAGGAACTGGCAACAGGGAGGCCATGAGCTACAAAGCCCGAAGGGAGAGCCCTCAGCAGGGGCCTGACGCTCTTTGATTTATTTCTGTATTTATTTCTCCTGGACAATGGGTGTGAGACTGCCCTTCCTGCCAGTGACCAGGGCCCTCCGAGGCCGAGGAGCGCAGGGCCCTCATCATGGGTATGGGGAGCAGCCCAGCACACCTGTGCCAACCCAGAAACCTAGAAGTTTCTAGATCTTCCCTAGCTGGGTTTCTGCCCCAGCATCACTGCCCTTTGAGCCAACACCTCACTGTGCATGTTGGCCAGTACCAGAGTCTTGACAGGGTCTTAGTTAGGAAATAGACTCTTAGCTGGTCACCTCCGCCAGTCCCATCCTGCCCCACGAAGCCACCCAGAGACAGTGACGTTTGCTGCCTCGCGGTACAGGAGTTACCGTCACGGTTTCCCCAGGAGGAGAGCAAAGGAGAAAGATCCTATACAGTCAAAATCAGTAGAAATTTGTTGTTTTGCACTTTTGTCATATTATTATTATTATTTTTTCTAAAGAGCTGATCATAGATCATAGGAAATGTGGCTAAGAGTCATTAAGTTAAGGCGCCCCCAGCCCTGCCTTTTCTGTTGTGTTGCTGCCTATCTTAGCATCACTCCATTTATAATGCCTGGTACCTGCCAGGCCCTGCAGGGAGCGCGCGATGCGTAGCTCACACTTCCATCCACGACCCCCCGAAGGGTACGTGCTGTTACCAGCCACCTGTACAAATGCAGGACCCTTTCCCTCACGCTGCTGAAAGGGATTTTTGCTGGATATAAAATTCTAGGTTGGTTCCCCCCCCAAACCTTTCAGCACTTGAGAGGGGTCATTTCATGGTCTTTGCATGTTTTTAAAATGCCTACAAAGGTTACGAGCGTGGCAGGGCAGGCCGCCCGGTCGACACACACTTACATGGCTGTTGAGTAAACCGCTTTTGTGTGAAGTGATCCCTTCGCTTTTTTGGAGGTTTTCAATCGCCATTTCAAGCTAAAGAAAATGTGTGCAGAAACAAAACAAAATGGAAAAAAAAAAAAAGGAAATCAGATGGTTAGCATCAGCCAAGATTTGTTTTTATTAATATCCAAATAATGATTCAAGCGCCTACAAAATAAAAACAAGTCTTGACGCGGGTGGGGGTGGTGTGGTTAGGTGGCGAGTGAAAGCTGGGGTCCGGAGCGTTACTCCTGCCATGCGGGTGAGCGCGGGAGCCTGGGGAGCGTGAGCAGCACAACAAAGCATTCTGCAAACACAGGCAGCTGCATTTGAACACATCTGCATGTGCTGTGCACAGCGTGGATACTGAGCCGAGGTGGGAGTTCAGGTAGAAGCAAAGCCAGTAGAATAATCACCCGCTGCTCCCCTGGACCCGTCATTGGTTGCTGGGGGAGAATCAGCTGTCCACCCGAGGACAGCTGGTGGCACTGACTTGCCGGCCAGCCTGTCCTGTCACAGAGCCTAGGGTCTCCTGTCCTCCTGGGTGCTCCAGGAAGATGTCAACAAGGCCAAAGACCCTGGCCCTGCCATCGGGAGGCACAGAGCCCTGGGGCCACTGGACATGTCACAGGGCTAAGCTCCTGAATGTTTCCGAAGCATGAGCTGAGCAAAGAGGGTGACATAGGAATGAGAATGAGTCATGGGATCAGTCATGGGGAGCTAACAGGGAGGCCTTCCTGGGGGAAGGGGCTCATGAGCTGGGTGCCGAGGACCTCATGGAGGCAAGGAGCTGAGGGGGTCCAGTAGGCCGATGCTCAGGAGGAAACACCCAGCTAGGTGCGGCTCCCACCACATCCGTACATGCTGAATTTGACGCCTGCTTGTGCATGTGACATGGAAGTGGGAAATCTGCGTTATGACACTACGACAGGCAGAGAGCTGCAATGGGAGGAAATAATCCCAGGGCCCACCCTGACTTTCCTCAATCACGTAGGGAAGGTGGGCTTCAGCGATGCCTGTGCAATAAAGCAGGTGGAACACATATTTTGGAAAAGTGCAGCTGGACGGGGCTCCTGGGGCTGAGTGCAGGAATGAGACGGTTCCTACTTCACCCATCACCTCTTCCAACCACTGTGTATCTGTCTACTGTCACCACTTTTGCTCAACACTGTACTGGAAGTTCTAGCCAGAGCAATCAGGCAACAGCGAGAAATAAAAGACATCCATATTGGAAAGGAAGAAGTAAAACTATCTCTATTTGCAGATGACATGATCTTAAACACAGAAAATCCTGAAGAAGCCACACACACACACACAAACCTATTAATGCTCATAAATAAACCCAGCAGAGTGGCAGGATACAAGATACAAAACCAGTTATATTTCTCAACAGTGAGCAATAGAAAAGTGAAATAAAACAATCTCGTTTCTAATAGCATCAAAGAAAATAAAATACCTAGGAATAAATTTAACCAACGAGGTAAAATACTTGTGTACTGAAAACTATAACACTGCTGACTAAAATTAAAGAAGACCTACATAAACAGAGGACATCCTATGTTCATGGATCAGAAGATGCAATATTTAGAAGGCAACACTCCAAACTGATTGATGCAATCTTTATCCAAATTCTCTATTAAACTTCCAACTGCTTTTTCAAAAATGGACTAGTTGATCCCAAAATTTATACGGCATTGAAGGGAGCCTGAAAGCCAAAACAATCTTGAAAAAGAAGAACAAATTTGGAAGGCTCGCATTTCTGGATTGCAAAACGTACTACAGAGTTTACAGTAACCATACAGTGGAGTACTGGGATGAGGATAGACCTATAGATGTATAAAGGTCACCAGAATGGAATTAAACATCCAGGAACAATCCCATATGTCTATGGTCAACTGATTTTTGACAAGGCTGTCAAGACCACTGAATGGAGAAAGAGTAAATTTTCTAACCAATAGTGCTGGGATAAATGGGTTTCCACATGCAGATGAATGGAGTTGGACCCCTACCTCACAATCTATACAAAAATCAACTCAAAATGAATTAAAAAAGGTAAATGTAAGAGCGACAACTTTAAAACTCTTAGAAGAAAACATACAGTAGTCATGTACAATAAATATGTTTATCTTCATGACATGACCTTGGATTTGGCAATGGATTTTTAGGTATGATACCAAAAGCACAAGATAAAAAAAAAAAAATCTTCACAGAGATAAATGGGACTTCACCCAAACTAAAACCTTTTGTATGTCGAAGGACGCTATCAAGAGAGTGAAAAGACAATCCATATGGGAGAACATATTTGCAAATTGTATACCTGAGAACGGTCTTGTATCTAGAATATATAAAGCACTCTCACAAGTCAACAACAAAATGACCAATTAAAAAAAATGGGCAAAGGACTGAACAGACATGTGTGTAAGAAGCACATTAAAATAAAAGATGCTCAGCGTCATCAGTCATTAGGGAAATACAGACGAAAAGCACAGGGAGATACCACTTCATATGCATTAGTATGGCTATTAAAAAAGAAAGGAAGAAAAAAGAAAAAAACCCGGTGTCAGTGAGGATATGGAGAAACTGCAATCCTCACACATGACTGGTGGAATGTAAAGTGGTGCAGCTGCTGTGGAAAACAGTCTGGTAGTTTCTCCAAAGGTCACACACATGCTCAGCTAAACTATTATGTCCGAGCAGCCCCACTCCTGGGGGTATTCAGAAAAAAATTGTACACAAATGTTCATAGCAGGGGGCGCCTGGGTGGCTCAGTGCTTGAGCATCTGCCTTTGGCTCAGGTCATTATCCTGGGGTCCTGGTATCCAGCCCTGCATCGGGCTCCCCGTGGGCTCCGCCTGCTTCTCCCTCTGCCTGTGTCTCTGCCTCTCTCTGTGTGTCTCATGAACAAATAAATACAATCTTCAAAAAAATAAAAAATAAAAAAATAAAAAAAAATGTTCATAGCAGCATGATTCACCATGGCAAAAACCTGGAAAAATCCACGTGTCAGCCACAGATGACGGGGTCAACACAACGTAGTATACCTCTACAACGGAATATTCTTCATCCACAACAAGGAAGGAAGTAGTGATACATGTTACAGTGTGGATGAGCCTCAAAAGCATGATGCTCAGGGAAACAAGCCAGGCACAAAAGACCACATAGTGCATGATGCCATTTATATGAAATGTCCAGAACAGGAAAATCCACAGACAGAGAGCAGAGTAGTTGCCAGAGGCTGAAGGAGGAGGGAGTGGGTAGGGGGTGACTGCTAACCAGTCAGAGTCCCCAGTTTACAGGGTTTCCTTCAAGGGTGATGAGAATGTACTAAGTGTCACTGAATCGTATGCTTTTAAGTGGCTAAAATGATTAATTTTATGTCATGTGAATTTGGCCTTGATTAAAATACAACTAATTAAAAAACCCATTATTTCCCCTTGTAATTTGAATGGATCTTCTTCCCACATGTGTGCTTTTGTAACCTCACGCACCAGTCACTTGGAAAATACTGGTTCACTGACTTTGCAGATGTTCCAAATGTTGACATGCTGCTAATTATACACAAATTGAAAAATCACACTCGTTAACAGCACTACCCAGGTCCAAATTCTAACTTTTGGGGGGTTGAAAATGTATTGGCAACCAGATCAGCCAGCTGTTTCCCTGGATACGTACACCTCACACCGTTCACTTTTGAGAAAATGTCTGCCAAATCCCCAAGTCTCAATAATCCTCATTTGTCTGTTATTCCTTCAAGCAAACAGTGTTTCACGACAAAAGTGGCTGGTTTGGCTCACAACCATTTGCCCGGTGGCTTTCCTTAGGACAATCGTCCTACTTTGGCAGAAGTGTCTTTTTTTTCCCACAGAATACTGGAAATATGTGAACTCCAGCACTGAGATTTAATACAATTAATAACGTTTACTGCTCCACCAAGGACGGTAGGTGCACCTTAACGGGAAATCGCAGTACCCCAGACGCTGCTTCTCTTTTCCTTTTCACTGTGAGTACTGGGTGCTGAAGACCACTGTGACCTCTGGGAGAGTTTGACGCCTCTGCCTTGCTCTGCACCTGCATTTGTGCCCCGGGGGGGGGGGGGGGCTCATCGATAGTGAATTTGCACAATCAGCACAAATGTCATCACAGGGAAAGTGGCGGCTGATGGCTTAGTATGACGATGAAAACAGTTTTGACCCTGTAGGGCCCTGGGAGGGTCTTGGGGACACCCAGAGGAGGGCTGGACATACTTAGGACTGCCTGCTATAAAAACTGCAGAGTTACCAGTACTGTGGAAAAGAACACAAATTAGAGCTTGCTGCATAAAGATCATCCAGAGGAACCCGTTGCGATTAAATAGGTTCTGATCAAACCCACGGATGCAGGAAATTAATTTGATGCACAGGGGAACCTCCCAAGGTGTTCACTGTGTTTTAAAATTAAATCTTGGTGTAAACCTCAGTAGGCGGTGAAGGCCCCAGTCAGCGCGGAGGGCGCAGTGCGCACGCCTGGCCGGCAGAGGGCGCTGCGGCGCCACCTCCCAGCCCCGCACCGCCCGGGAGCACCCACCGGGGGCATTGACCGGAGCATCAATAGGGAGCACCGCCCGGGAGCACCTCGCGCTTGCACTTGACTTCAAGTCCGAGTCTTCCTTACACACCTGCCGGAGCGACTCTCCCTGCGCGAGTACAAACGCCTTGTTCGATCCTCTCAGTGGCTGGAGAAGTTCGTGTTTAAATATGCTTAAAATAAAAACTAAATTTTATATCTGACTGGAGTTTAACTTTCTGCTATTAAAAAGCGTTAATCAAGGTGCTACATGCACAGGCCCGTATATCACACGGTAAGGAGGAGCCAAGGATGGCCGCAGGAGTGCCCCTCCCCGCCCCACCCGAGGCCCCCGCAGCTTTCCCTAAAATCATTTCTGGTTCCTGAACTTCCAGCAGTTTCCTTCCATCTCGGTACCGTGCACATGCTTATGCACGTTTCATGACTTATCAGGAGCTTCATTTTTATTTTTGATTCAATGCAATGCAGCAATATTCCTTTTTACTGGCCAC